ACAGCCTTTTGGCATATACAGGGTCAAGCGTTTGGGGTTATATACAAATATGTATATGGTAGACTGACAATATTGTGGTCCCACATTTGCTGTGTAGGACACGGCCCCTATTGTGTAGAGCACCCCCAAAGCGGAACATAACTAAAGACAAGGAACCTTGTTTTCCTAGACCCTCCGTCTATTTTCCCTAACTAGCCACTATCAGGGACCGTGTACCCCTATTGAGGGAACAAGTGGGGTCCTGGAAGGGATTTAGACCCTAAACCCAAAACCCCAGGCCTGGAGAATGTTGATCTAAGTTCCCCAGTAGCTCTTAGCCTATAAGGGCACCCTTTTTGCCAATGGTCAGCTTCCAGAAGGAGAACCCAAATTAAAAAGGGAAAAAGGGTACTACTGGGGTACGTACCTAGTGATAAAGGGACTGAGATACCAGCGTCTGGGTCTGCGAAAACTGCCAGCGGCCCAGCAACTCCCCCTGCACGGCCGTCAGGTTGAAGGTTTAGGTTTGCTGCTCAACCCTTCGGAATTTTAGGGTTTAGGTTTGAGGTTTAAGGTTTAGTTTTTTTTCTTTCTTGCGAGATTTTTGGGATAAGCCTTTGGGTTTAGGGTTTAGGGGCACGTTCACAAGACTGATAAGGAGTCTACAGCAGCAAAGGGAAGGCAGAAATCTTTGGGTATTAATGTGACAGCGACAGCCATGGAAACCTTAGCATCCTTAGCAACGGGTCACGGCACGCAGCAGCAGACAAGCAGAAGACGGAGATTGACAAACAGTAAGATTGTGCAACCATCCCTTATCCTATGACTTGGAATGGCTTGCCAGGCCTTCTGCAGCCAGGAAATCTTTGCTGACTGCCTGCAAGTTTGACGAGAGCCGCAAAACTAGAGAAAAAGGTTCTGAGGGCTAAGTCCAAGCCCCAAACGCTTAGACCCTAAATCACACGAATTCCATAAAAGATCGGATACGGCTATATGGTAGTTTCCATACATGGGGGGGGGACCCAATGTAGACCTCAATATACATTTTAAGTCTTTTTATAGGAACTTCCAAGAAAGGGCCATGGGCTTATGAAGACTGACCCCAACACTCCACTAGCTTTGCCAGGCCTCTCCACCGCTTCGAAAGAATATGAAGCCCACAAGTGCCTCCCAAAATTTCAGGGCACACAGGAGACATGGTAGCTTCTTGTAGTAGGAGGACCCCAGTACAGACACCACTATACTCTCATCCTTTACCATGGTGACCCCAAAACGGTACCCTTGACTTCAGGAAACCCCGTGTGCTTTGGCAGGTGAAAGACTGAGGGAGTTCGGAGTATACGGCTTCGGAGGCAATGAGGTGGACAGCGCCCCACCCGGTAACAGTCTATCATAAAAGTCAGATTAAGGCCTCTATTTGAGTATATTGGGTTTAGGGTTTTTGGGGTTACTGAGTTGGGGCAGTACCAAACTTATGGGGTTTGGGCCCGTGGGTTCTACATTCTGCGGCGCTGGGACTGACGGACTTCTTTCCCCTTGGCGTCAAATGTGAGCTATAGAACAAACTCCGAGTATCCCCATTACTATCCCCTATAATCGTCCCCGTATATGATCGACTGTATAACCGCCTTTAAGGAGTTTAGACCCTGAACCCTAAATCCTGAACCCTACACCCTAAATCCTATACAATCCCTTATATAACACCCTTTAAGGAGTTTGACTATAGCTCATTTAAGGATGCAACCTCCAGGCTCTCAAAAAGGTTCAGGGCTTGCGGGCATAGAGTCGAAGAACATGTTGGATTGTGCATCAAGTCAAACCCTAGGGCCACGTTTACAGGGTTTAGGGGTTAGGATTTAGGGTTTAGGGCTCCAGTTACCTAAATAATGGGTTCTGGGTTCCATATACCCAAAGTTACATAGTGCAGTAACCTACTATTTAGGTAATTCGGAGCCCTTGGGAAAGTTGGGTTAGGTATCCCCCCCCCCCACAACGAACCATCTCTAACCAGACGCTTTACAACTTCTAGCGAGCTGTTGAAAGACCCTACTGTAACTAGAGGCCTTACATGGCGCAAGTATAACTTCTATCTAGCTGTTGCTGGACCATAAAACCCCCAACCCCCAACCCAGACATACCACTATCACAGGGTGACAGGTCCTCCTAAGCAGCACTGGTCCCAAAACCCTAAACCTAAAACCCCTAAACCAACAATACCACGTAGCACAGGGTGGCGGGTCCGCCTAAGCAGTACTGCCCTAAACCCTTTACCCTAAACCTAATTGTATACAGCTATGATCCACCTAAGCAGTACTCAAGGTGTAAGCATTTTGGAGGATACAGGCCCCATGCTATGCTTCCCTGGGGGGTGGTGCATGGCGAGGAGATGGTATCCACTAAGCTTATTCTACATACTTTGGGATTTAGATAAACTCTAAAAACCCTAAACCCTAAATGTCCTGTTACACTGATGCTTGGTCCCTTTCCCTGCGCAACCTGAAGCAAGGCTCCCCCGAGGAGGAGCTGAAAGCAGCGGCTGGGCCTCGTTGGCTTTGGATTCAGGGTTCTTCGAGGGTCAGGGGGACTTAGTAAGTAGGTTAGTAATGGGGATATTTAGGGTTACTATATGGGTTATAGGGGTTATTATGCTACTTCCTAAGTCCCCCTGACCCTCCAAGTTTGTGTTTTTGATTTAAGGCTTGGGGTAGGTAGGGTTCGGGGTTTGAGGCTTGGGATATGTAGGGTTTAGGGTTGGGGTGTCGATGGAGTGGGGATTGGGTGTGGGAAGTTGCCAGGGCCCTAAACCCTAAACCCTAAACCCTAACTGGCGGTTGGCCAGGGGTTTGTAGTTTCGAGCTGAGGAGGGAATGCTGGCAGCTGGCTATGCAGGCAGCCCAGCAAAAAAGCCATGAACAATACGCGCAAACATCCATGTGGAACGGTTTTAGGGAATGATACGAGGCCGAAAAAAACTCCCCACTATCATATTGAGGTCCGTGTGGCGTACCCTATAAGTAACATCCTGATGCGAATCATGGAGAACCAGAAAAAGGCTTTTAAGTCCTAAGCCCTTTACCCTAAACCGCGTGGCTTGATCAGGGCTTGTCTGATGCGCTGGCCAGATGTTCGCGTCCGAGCAAGCTGCTGAGGCTGCAAATCAGCGATGTATTGCAAACCACATGTATACCTCTACGAGATTCCTATGGCAGTTAATTGCGTTGAATAGGGAACCCCAACATAAATAGGCTTCAAAAAAATCTCTAGTTCTAAACTCCCCAATGATCCCACCAAATGCAGACGGTTGGAACCGAAAAAAACAAGTGTCCTTCTTCTTTCCGCGTGTTGCCACCGTAGCGCATGCGAATTCAAGTGCATCTTCGCAAGCGCCACAAGTACGTATACAGTAGAAACGCATGTCTGATAAATGACTATCTAGAGATCACATAGCGGAATATTGACTCTTATAGTAGAGAATGAAGAGAAAACGGAACATGGCATGGAAATTTGGAATATCTATAGTCCCCCGTAGGTAGATAGAATATGGCGTCGGGTATCTTACAATATAAGATCACCATAAATCCCATATTCTATCTACTTAAGGGTAACTATATGCCCAGGATGTGCCCATGGCTTGACGGAGATGGGTACCAGTGGCACACTTGGTCATCAGTTCATGCACGTCTGTGAGACACTTGTCTCCCAAAAGAATCACTGTATTTGGGGTTTAGGGTTTAGGCTTTCAGGGTTTGGGGTTACCCTAGAATTTCTTGAGGCCTTGAGAGGGACGCCCTATCATCTCCTTTAAGTTCCCATCTCTGCCCATGGCTCCAAGACATACGCGGATTTTGAGAAACTTCCCGACACCCTCAACTTGAATCCTTGAAGAGGTCTGACGGGCCCCCCTTTTTGGAAAGCCCCTAAACCCAAATCCCGTACCTTCTGAAAGTCAAGGACCCCTGGAACAGACTCTCCTGGTGCAGCCCTTCTGCACCCAGCCCAACTGAAATCTTTGACATCTTTAGTCCTTAGGCTTTAGGGTTAGGGTTTAGGCTTTAGGGCTCAGAATTCAGGATTTGGGGGGTGAGGGTTTAGCCCTAGTACCGGTGAATCCCCTACCTCTACCTGCTATTGCGCATCATGCGAGTCCAAAACAAATGCCCGGACTTCAAAAGCAATAGCCACTGTTCCGCGGGTTGGCCAGGAGAACCCATAATGAACCCTAAATCCTAAATCCTAAACCCTGTTAAGCCCAAAGCCCCAAAACCCTAAAACCCTAAACCCTAGAACTGTTCTAGAGGTCTCATCGACATGCAAAGCCCAGCAGAAAAGTGATGAAAATCCTACATCCATGCTTCAGAGGTATATGAGTCCTGGACTAAATTTGTAGCATATCCCTTAATAGGTCCCCCCCAAAAGCCTATATAGTCCCCTGTAGGTCCCCCCCAACCTAAATTTAGTCCATTTTGTCCATAGCTCATATAGTGGCGATTAGTCCCGAGTTAAGGCACGACTTCAGCGGCTTCTATGGCGGAATATGAGGAGACTAGACACTCTGGACATTCATTCCTCCATTCCCATACTCACCAGAAGAAACTTATCCTCACCCTAAACCATATTTAGGGTTTTAGGGATGAGGATTTAGGGTTTAAGGTTTAGGGCTTAGGATTTAGGGTTTAAGGGATTATAGGGATTAGGGTAAACCCTAAACCCTGCACCCATACAAAATCACGCCCCGCCTATTCGCCGACTCTGTAGCCACAACCTGCTCATTTGCATGATGGATGGATTTTGCTAGGGGTGAGAAGAGGACTACATACAAAGGCCCCTTGTAGAGGCAAGATGGATCAACTGTGTGCATCTGGAGCTGGAATATGCATCGTTGGCATGAAGATATTTAATGATGGGGATTGACTATGGTGTTCAGATCTCCGACTGGGAAAGCAAATCTATCCTCACGCAGCACTTAGTCAGTGTTTTTCTGCTTTGAAACTGGTGGTAGATCTGAAATCTTCATTGAAATTTCAGGAGCTGCGGGGGCCGTTCTTGCCCCATCGGGCCAGGCGCTTGTCTCGTGGCGCCAGCGGTCGGTTCACCCGGGCGTTGGAATCTGCGTTGGTCTCTGCAAGTGGTGGTACAAGTCGAGCATAAGGAGGAGCACCAGGGAGCTGGGACCAGTGGTGGACATACCCATAGATGTCCTTGTAGCACGTTTCTTCGACGGTGTCGTGGCTGAAACCTATTCCTTGCAGCTTCAGAATGACGCGCTGCTCTGCCTTGTCTATCTTTGTGACCAACAAGTTTGCCAAGAAGCCTCCAACCTTTTGAAGCTTCTTGGGAACTCCTTTGAGCAATCTCCAACGGAGAAGGCCCAAACACTCCGAGTTGATGTCGATAATCAATCCTGCGCGAGTCTTCTTCACAATTTTGCCCTCGTAGAACTTGTCTTGGACAAGACCTTCGATGGGCATTCTCTGCTTGCATGTCTTGACACCGCCTCGGGTGTACTCATCTGGGCCATGATGGCCATGGCCGACCACCTCCTCCAGCAGCAGCTCTCTCACTTCGCGCAGTGCCAAGATGGCATCCGAATTGTTCTTGGGCTTGCTGGCCATCACGTTCCTCACCTGAGCATGTGACCGGCACTAATCATGAAAAGGCTGGATAGAGGAGCATGGGGGTGACGCATCAAGAAAAAATGATAAACATCAAGAAAAAATGCCCTAAACAATCAGGAAGAACATGGCAAAGCTTGGGCACGGCATCAACAAATATTTTGATAAGCATCAAGAAATTTGAGGACAACTGTACCATACATAGAATAAGGTGTACGGATATTACATATACAGGTAGCAGTACGATAAGGGCAATACTTCGAAAGAGACAAGGGCCCAAACTGTTATTGATGCTTGGCAATTCTTCTTTGATGCCTAATCATGCCGTGGAGGATGGGGGTGTGGGCGAGCATGGAACCGGAGGAGGGACGTGTTCGAGCTGGCTGAATGACAAAAATCTAGCCAACCAAATGTTCACCTATGCCCTTACACTGGTTCGCAACACTATTCACAGGCGGACAAGTGATGCCGATTTGCGAAGCCTGGT